GAAATATCAGAAATAGCGGAACTTATCACACGGATGGGACAAGAAATCGGGTGGCTGCATATGGTGGAAATACAAGAAAACGTAAGATACGAGAAGCCATGGATATCCTGACTGTGAGAAACCTAGTGAACAGGAGATTTGAAGAAGGCAGGATTAGCGAAAACTTTACATATTGCCTAAGCAAATTCAGAGAAGACAGGAGAACAGCAAAACCAGCGAAAAAAAGACGACTGGACTAAGGCAATACTTTTAAATTTAGGAAAAGAAATTACAAAGCGATCAGAGAGGAACAATCGGAAACCAAGAGAAGACGTGTTCAGTGAGCCTAATCAAAACAATTAGAACCGCATCACTTGTGGGCTGGCACACAAGAAACTAGGGCATAGGAAGTCACCGACTTGTCATTATAGATTGAAGCACGATAGAAGCGGCGGAGACTAGAGCTGGTTGACTAACAGTAGACATGTTTGATCATAGACGTGGTCCGTGAAGCAAGGGCTTGAGCATGATAATTACTCGGGACCTATAGCCTCAAGTTAGTCTCCCATCCAGCTTGAGAATGTAGACTTTGCGGGCCTACTCAGCGAGGCGGAGGTGTACGTGCCATCAAAGACTTGAGGCAGAGTATGGGAAATAACTCCTCGACTAGCACAGTTAGGGTGACAGGGTTCGAGTGAAATACCTGAAGCAGAATGATTGGAGACGGATCCTACGAAGCAAGAGGGAGACTCTGATATGCCTTATGGGAAAAGGATTGCCGAATAGTATAGCAGACTCTGATCAACATTCCTAGCACAAGGGTGAAGAGGGTTAATAATTTGATGAAGCAAGCGTGGGGTGCGGAGAAGTCTAAAGAAATCTGCTCAAAAGGACACAATCCCACATTTAAATAGGCGATTAAAAAATTGTGAATTTGAAGGAGTCATACGAGAAGATAGGATTTGTGATAGCCAAGGACAGAAGGAGATATACCACAATTGTTTAGCAGACAAATGGTCAAAGAATCTGTTTCACTTGTCTCTTCGACTACGATGCCGGTAATACGTCTGGGCATGTACCACGTCTACGTCCCAACTCTTGAAATTGTCATGCTTAGTATGGACTCCGGACAAGATGCCTTCCTCTATGTCTTCCTGCCAATATGACATGAACTTGTGAAAACAAGCTAAAATAACTTCTATACAACGAAAGGAGTCCGTGACCACAATAAAAGCCACACCAACTTGTTCTTCATACCTCTGATTATCGAAGAAAATTTAGGGTTTTCTTAAAAACCTTTTTTAAATTTCCTACTTTCTTACCACTTCATTCTTCTCAAGAAGGGAAAGTCAGGACATGAGAAAATGTCTTTTCTTTCATTTCTTATCAAATATTTCCCATATAAAAGTGCATTCATTATTAATCTGATGCTATTTACAACAGTTCACGATGCTTATTCTTAAGTAGTGCTAGTTCAAGCCTAACTCATAATCATAATGTTCCCTATCCTTTAATCCTATACTTGGGGATAATTATCCACTTGCTTTGATTAGAAATAACATCATATTAATAAAGGATTCATTTTTTAATTTGAATATTAAAGAAATTATATAGAGGCCTTTTCTCATGCATTGACTTGGTTTACTGCTTTATCTCTAAAAAAAGATTGTCGAACTAGTAGGGAAGTTTGAGTAAAAAAATGTGTTCAAGGAAATTATGATACTTTCTTAAGTTATATCCACTTTTAAAAAGCAATGTGATTAATCGTCCAGATCAAGTCGCTATAATTTACTGCGTTCATGCTGAAGAGATCTGCCATCTCTTTCGACGGATAGCTAAATTCAAAAGCGCTTGTAGAGGTTGTTAGGTACAAGGATCAGAGATAGCAGAGCGCATTGTAGAAACTGGACATGAGATAAGGGTATCTTAAATCTAAAATTTTCCTGATTATTCTAGAATACTTTCAGTTAAGCGCAAAATCAGAACGATCATTGAAATCATCAGATAAGGCGGTATATTGAATATGAGGAATTAATTAGAAAAGTTAAATAAAACTACTTGTCTCTGACGAGTTGTGTTGTGGTGCTAAGAATGACAAGGCTCACTGAAGATGCCGGAGAAACGTCTAGGAATGTACCAAATCCACAGTGCGACTTGAAATTATCATGAATACTATGGGCTCCGAACAAGGTGCTTTTTTCTGGGTCTCCTTGACAATTCTACCAAGTTGCGAAGCCAAGGTCAAACAACTTCTTTACAACGAAAGGAGACCGCGACCACACAAAAGGCCACAATCTTGGTCTTCATATTTTCTATTAAAACTACTTAAGCTTAATTAATAGGAGATATAAAGACCAAGATGGTGTGGCCTTTTGTATGGCAGCAGTCTCCTTTCCTTTAATACAAGTTGTTTGACCTTGTTTTCGCGACTTTGTCATATTGATAGGACGACTTAGAGAAACTTACATAATCAGGAGTCCATAGTAGTCATGATACTTAAAAGATTGATATGGTGTGCCCTTTTGAGCGGATTTCATGAGAACTCTCCACACCCCACATTGGCTTTCTCACTCCCTTCACTCTTGTGCTGGGAAGCCAATAAAAACAAGTATAACCACAAATTTTGTGGGTTGGCATACGAGATTAGAGCATAGGAAGTCATAGACTTGGTATTATAGATTGAAGCACGATCGGGCTAGTTGGCTAACAGTAGACATGTTGGATCATACACGTGGTCCGTGAAACAAAAGCTTGATCATGAGAATTACTTGGGGTCTTTAGCCTCAAGTTAGTCTCCCAGAGGTAGAGTGTGGGAAATAACGCCTCAAGTAGCACAGATGAGGTGGCATGGGTCGAGGGATACAGCAGACGGAATCTACGGGGCAAGAGGGAGACTCTGATAAGACCTATGGGAAGGGGATTGTGGAACAATATGGCGGACTCTGATTAACATTTCCAGTACAAGGGTGAATGGGGGTGAGTGGGCATGAAAGCCGCTCAAAAGGGCACACCATACCACATTTAAATAAGCGAAGGAGAAAAATAGTGATATTGAAGAGGTGATGTGAGGTTATAGGATTGGCGATTAGCCCAGGGCGGAAGGAGAAATACAACGAATGTTTATCAGACAATTAGTGAAGGATCGGCTTCATTTGTCTTTTTGACGAGGCTCACTAACGATGCCGTCTACGATGCCGGTGAAACGTCTGGAAATGTACCACGTCCACGATCCGGTTCTGGGACTTATCATGCATACTATGAACTCCAGACTAGATGCCGTCCTCTAGGTCTTCCTACCAATATGACTGAGTTGTGAAAATATGGTCAGACAACTTCCTGATTAATTGAGTCAAGGATACAGAAGGTGTTAAGAAAAAACAGACTTGAGCGAGAATGCATTTTTTTGCCTGCGGAATTCCTATACCTGCTCCTAAAAATTCGTGTCAGACCTTGAAATTAAGCTTTATTCCCGATTCAGTTTTCCTTACATTTCCAGTCCTGTCTCTCCTATAAATGTTGTCTCCAAGATGAGACTATTATGTTCAGCCTGATTGCCTGTTCCTCGCCCAGCTCATTTTTGCTTCCTGTTTATACATAGTTTGTAAGATGTGTTCACCTTACTTCGTTTAAGGTGATGAGAGGAGTGGTAGTTGAATTTTTCCACAATCACAAAAGGCCAGGCATTTTCCCATATCGCATAGTTTGCCCGATTAAGACTAGGCTACCGATAAGAATGATGCCCATTGTAATCTCCACTTCATCCATTTGTTTCAGATAAGTGCCCAACGCGAAACAAAGCGCATCTCCGACCTCTGGTTGCATGAGGTCTACACGGTGCATCTGGCCGCCAATACCTGTCACGGCGAAGGTGTCCGCTCGCCTGCCTTCCATCTGCCTCCACTCTACGACGGCCTTGTGCCGGGCGCCAACCGACAACATCGGCGTTTCGAATTGATCGTCACTAGCGATTCAGCCTATGCACATGGTGTTGAGCTGGATCCGGAGGGCCGACCACTGGCTCGAACAGGGTCGGGCAAGCAGACTGCCGATCTACTGAAGGGGACCAGTCAGTCGGCTCTGGCCGCCTTACACGACGCATCCATCGGACAAGTGTCGGAAGCACAGCAAGTCAGCTTCTACTGGCAGATTGGTCTGTCCTGTCTTCTGGCACTTTTCTTTGCCACACTCGTTCTCTTGATCCTCTTCGCCTTTATCTGTCGCAGACGCAATCGCCTACGTCGCGATGAGTTGTCCGGCAAACGGAAACACACCTCAACAATCTCATCATTGCCGCCCGGCGTCGGCTCGTCGGCGTCTCCGACATCTGCCGGCCTCCTCACGCCTCACGCAACTGCCGCACTCCAGCATCAGCACTTAGGGCCCAATAATGGCCGTCTCCCAGTGAATGGCTGTAGTTCTTCGGCATCTTCGCCCAACAACAACAACTATGGCTTCACTGTGGCCCCCTCGACCTTTGCCGACACAAGCCTGATTGCTGGGGCGATGGGGCAGCGTTCGCTAGCTTCTGTTGACTCCACCACGAATCCCGCATTTCACCTGACCCCCCTGCTTTCGGCCATGCCAACTACCAGCGCCACGCCGGTTGTTGCCATGGGACAATCGTTAGACGACCACGCCAATTGGCCCGGCGTCAGTCTCGCCCTCTCGGGACTCGGCCTCGGTATGGCCGGACTCGAGACCAGTTCGGTCGGTGAACTCATCGAGTCGATGGGGAACGGTGCTCTTCTGAGTACACCCGTGTCGCGCAGCCACTTGCCGCATGTGCCAGTGCCGCCGGGCTTTCCTCCGCCGACCGTCCAGCACCATTTGGCCGCAGCCGCGATGGCAGCAGCCATGCAGACGGGGGCTTCGTTTCCCGGCCTCTATCCAGTGCCTCAGCCTGCGCCACGGCCTTCAGCAGGTGCCAACGACCTTGTCGAGCCGGTAGACCTTCGGCAGATGGATCTAATTGCCCAGAGCGATCCGACCATTGGACTGCTCTCCGATGAGGCGGGCGGCTATGCGGTACCTGTGGTGCCTTCTCCGGCATACTCTACTGGCAGTACTGCATTGGCTTCTGGCAATACATGTAGGTTCTGACAAACTAGAGCTAAATGAATTATGCTCCTTTGACCACATTTCGTCATCTTGACTCGTGTTCAAATGGTCAAGAGGACATTCAGAAGTGGGTTGACCTCGTTGTCGCAACTTGGTCTTGTGTTCACGGAGACTATGTAGAACGCACCGAGTCCGAACTCGTCTGCCATAGTAGTTGTCTTGATTCCTAGCATCCGACCGTCAACTTGATACATTCTCAGACGTTTCGCCGGCATCGTAGTCGGCATCATCAGTGAGACTTGCCAGTACAGAAAGAAGTCCTACTCTGGGATAATACTTAATTTCGGCTCCCATCACAATTACAGGCTAAAGAT